TGAGGTGCACCCACAGGCCACCACTGTGGCTTCGGTTTGCCTGTGTCTTTATCTTCCCTTTCTTGCTGAAAGGATGACACTTTGACAGTTATTATTATTATTATTATTTGCCTGCTTTTAAGGTCATCTTGTAAGCTGGTATTCTGGAGTTTCTCTGGGAGGTATATAACTATGGAAAATTTATCTGTGGATTCATTTGCTGTATATCATAGGTCTGGAAAGCTTTAAGCCTTTTTCTCTTTAGATAATGACTATCCTCCGTTCCTCTTTCGTTCTGGGACTCCAATTACATAAATGTGAGATTTTCTCATTCTATCTTTTATAGTGCTTGATGTTTCTTTCATGTTCTCTTTCTCTTTGTAATACATTCTTAGAAATTTCATTCAATCCATCTTTCATTTAACTGAAACATTTCAACTGTATTTAATCTTTTTAAGTTGTGTTTAATTTTGTAGTATATCGAAATTTACCCTTTTTTAGTTCTTAGCTTTCATTATTACATATTTGCAATACATAACTATTACATTCTTTGTGTGGCATTGGTGCATGTATGTAACACACTCAGTTCTTTTATTATTCCCTTCTCTCTCCTCCTTCTCCCTCCCTCCATCTCTTGATCTCATTTTAAAAAGATGCTGGGCCTAAAAAGATGCTGGGCCCTACTTCTTGTCATTTATCTTATATTTTGTTCTTTATTTATATTTTGGGTTTCTCATAAAAGAAACCACACAACATTGAAACTTGTGTGTCTGATTTATTTCACTTAACAGTATAGTCTCAAGGTGCATCCATGTTTATACAGATGACCAAAGTTATATTTTTCTTTTACAAAATTTGTTTTTCTATTTTTATTTTTTAAAAGTTATCCTTCTTTGTGGTAGAGTAGCACTCCGTGTATAAATGCCATTTATCCATTCATCTGTATATAGACATGTTGATCGGCTGCTTCCCAAGATTCAGTCCTTGTGAGCTGTGTTGCTGTAAACATGGGTGGCAGGGGTCACCATAATGTGAGGTCTTTCACCCTTTTAGGAAGAGACTGAGAAGGGAACTAACGGGTCAAGTGGAATTTATAGTTTTAGCTTTTTGTTGTTGTTTAGTTGACCAGTGTTTTGTTTTGTTTTTTGAAACAAGCTTTCACTGTGTCATTCAGGCTGGTTCTGAACTCACCACGGAGCCTAGGATGGCCTCAAACTCCAGGCGACATTCCTATCTTGAGTGCAGAGATTACAGGTGTGTGCCGCCATGCCTGGCCCTAATTTTTGTTTTTTGGGGAATTTCCATGTTGTCTTTCGGAGTACTTGTTTACATTGCTATCAGCATGTGGAAAGGGTTTCTTTTTCCCTATATCCTTGCTCATCCATTGGGGTCTGGATTTGTTTGTTATCTTTTTGAGGCAGGGTTTTACTATGCAGTTCAGGCTGGCTTGAATTCACTTTGCACCCTGGGCTGGCCTCAAACTCACACCAATCCTCTTGCCTCAGCCCCCCAAGTACTGGGGTTCCAGGCATGTGCACCATGCCCAGCTAGATTTGGGTGTTTAAAATACTTTTATTTTAAAATTTTTACTCAGTTCTTTTTTACATTTGTCTGCTCATTTTGAAGCATTTTGTCTTGATCCTTGCTTATTTTACATTTTAAAAATTCATAATTATTTTGTGTTCTGTGTTAAGTCCAGTATTTAAAGTCCTTGCTGATTTAAGTTTGTTGTTTCTATTGATTCTGTAACATACTGGTTTTCCTTTTTTTTCCCTTTTTTGTACGTGTGTGTGTGTGTGTATGTGTGTGTGTGTGTCTGTGTGTGCACTGGGGATCTAATCCAGGGTTTGGTGCATGTTAGGCAAGTCGCTTACCATTGAGTTACACTCCAGTCCTAATTAGTTTATCTCTTTTATTGTAAGCTCACGTTTGATTGGCCTTGCTTTGAAAGGTGCCTGCAAGCCTTCATGGAGGATATTTTCCATAACAGAAGATATGTCTGTGTGTGAGTGTGGAATGAATGTGTGTGAGATTTGTTCTCAGAGCAATACTGTTGTAAGCGTACTTACTATTTGCTCCATGAGTGTCTCAAACAAAACAGAAATTCATCTTCACGCAAGCCTTAGTTTCTGAAGCAGCAGGGCTCTTTGGACTGTCCACCACATGGCCAGAAGCAGAAGACTTTCCTTGGTTCTGACGCCCTGGTGTGACTTTTACTCCTCTCCGTGTACTATCTGCACTGGTTACCAAGAGTCGTGAGGTTCAAGAAGTCCCTTTGTGTGCCGGCAGCCTGTGAGGCTGACTGCCGCTTAGTAATGCTTAGTAATGCGGCGTCCCTGGATTTGCTCCAGTTGTTCCTCTCGACCTCTCGGCCCACAATTCTGTGTCTCCTTTCACGAGTCTTCCTTTCCCTGCTCCTTTAGTGTCAGTAACCTTTGAAATTCTGTCCTTGGCCATTTTCTCACACTTTTTTGGGTGGGATCCTCTGCTTTTACAATTTCAGCTAGCACTTAGGTGATAACTTCAAAATCTGTATCTATAAACAAATCTTCTTTTGCTTAATATAAATACTGTACAGTACAGACAGTTTCAACTGGATATCTTTTCTTGGATGTCTGCAAGAATTTTGTCTCAAAATGAACTCCAAATTGCTAATCTGTTATTTCAAATCTCAGTTAGTAGCTACTCTGTAATTCTAGTTGCTAGGGCCAAAATCTCAGGAGTCATCCTAATCTCCTTTTTTCATATCCAAATGTTTACTAAGATTGCTGAACCTTTTTTTTTTTTTTTTTTTTTCCAGACAGGGTCACACTGTGTAGTCCAAGTTGGCCTCAGACTTATGGTGATCCCCTGTCTCAGGCTCCCAAGTGCTGAGATTACAGGTGTGTGCCACCACACCCAGCTTTGATCTGCTTCTTAAAATTCTCTCCAGTTGAGTTGAAATGTAGGCAGGCACTCTCACATTTGGCCTGTGGGAGTGTAAATTATTACACCTCTTAACACAGCACTCTGAGGAATATATTAAAGTTTGAAAAATGGCTTTCCAGGCCAAATATCCTTTAACAATTTCATGTCTATAAATTTATCCAAGGAAATAAAATTTTATACAAAGTTTTGTAGATAACTACAAAAATTATTATACTAGCAAAATTGTATTAATAATTTAAATTTTGAATGATATAAAATTCTTTAAGTACATCATGGTACATTCATAGCACCACTGTGAAATTAGAAAATTTCACTGAACTTTTTTTTATGTGGTATTGGGAATTCAACCACGGACCTTTGCAATAAACTATATTCCTAATCCTTTTCAACATTTTTTATTTGAAGACAAATGTGATGGTGCATGCTTGTAATCCCAGGACTCAGGAGGCCGAGGTAGGAGAATTGAGTCCTGGGATTACAAGCATGCACCATCACATTTGTCTTCAAATGTGAAGGAGAGGACCCAGGAGGCCGAGGCAGAAGAAATGAGTTTGAGGACAGCCTGGGCTGCATAGTGAGTTCAAGTCCAACCTGGACTAAACAAAATCTTATCTCAAAAAAAATTTTTAAAAATTTAAAATGGAGCCTTGCCAAGTCAGAGCTGGACTCAAACTTGTGATGTTCCTGCCTCGGCTCCTAAAGTGCTGGGATTACAGGCATGTGCCACCACACCCAGCTGGAGAACATTTCTGACACAGGAAAATGTACCTAATGTGTTAGTATTTTAAAAAATGCAAGATTCAAAATACTAGTATGATATTATGTCACTTCTATGAAATGTTTTTGCTTCCTATATATTAGCAGGCCATTTAAAAATATATTCAGGGCTTGCATAGCTCAATGGTACACCAGCATGTCTGATCTCCAGCTGCCCCACACATGTGTGCGTGCACACACACAGACATACACACACTCTCAGTTCTGGGTGGAGCCCCGGGTGGTCTTTCTCAGGACTTTTCTGCAGGGCGCCCATCTCCAGCACTGGGGGCCCTTCAGGATCTGGGCGTGCTCCCTGCTTCCTGTCACACACTGTAAGGCTGTAAGGCTCCCATTTGGGGAGCTGACTTTGTTTACCTTTGGCTGTGAGCTCCTCCAGGCAGGGCTGACCTTTCTTTTCTTTTTTATTTTTTTGTCTTTTTCCTTTTTATTGGTACCGGGGAGCGGACTCATGACTGCCTGCTTGCAAGGCAGGCGCTTATGCCGCTGAGCTAAATCCCCAGCCCCCTGACCTTTCTATTCTGCATCTGGGTTGCCTATGCGTGAAGATACTCAGTAGCATGTTGTGGAGGCTCTCACTGATGCCTCCTTTCAGGCAGGGTCACAGTTGGACTCCCACAGCTCCTTTCCCTTGTGAGAGTTGCACTGACACACTTGACCACTCATCTTCGAGCACAGACATGCACAACAAAGTGGTGATGTACAGTGTAAATACAAAGACAAACCTGTAGGATATTTTCTGGCCTATTCAACCGGCAGCCTCAGGGCCTTTGCACTTTCTGGTGACTGAACCTTTCATCTCTTCGCCTTTCAGCTCTTTATATGGCTAGTTCTCTCTCAGCTTTCCAGTCTCAGTCTCTTTCCCTGTCACCTCAAAAGAGGTCTTCCATGACCTGAGTACGCTCTTTCTTTTCATTTCCATTGCCTTGTTTATTTCCTTTACAACATTTTGGATCATTTATAAAACTCTTTGTTTCTTTTGTGTCCTGTCCCACCGCCTACCCTGGTGTCATTTCACAAGGGCAGGGTCTTCTGCTATGTTACACACCATTGTAACTTCTGTTTTTTTTTTTTTTTTTGTCTTTTTCCTTTTTATCGGTACCGGGGATCGAACTCACGACCGCCTGCTTGCAAGGCAGGTGCTTATGCCGCTGAGCTAAATCCCCAGCCCCCATTGTAACTTCTGTACCCCCGCAAATTAATAAATATATACAAAAGCTGCAAATAATCACAAATACAGCGATAATACACACGGCCAGTCATCTAGACACACACCGCCATACCTTCTGGCCTGTCCTCCCCCAGTCTCTACTCACCGGGGTCACAAACTTGTTGGCTTCCCAGGCCCACAGAGGTGGGTCCTTGTAGACCTCCTTGATAGAGGTAGGAGCCCTGTAGGAGTCAGTGTAGGTACTGATGGGGGTCTTGGTCTTTCGCGAGAAGAGGTACATGGTGGGGTCTCCAGGGCGCTGTGGTGGCCTCTACCTAGAAAGACTCCTGCTGGACATCAGTGACCACCCCCTCTCTCAGACAGTCCACACCTCCAGCCTGGCAGGTGCTCCTAGCTGCTGTGACCCTCCTGTGGAGGGTCTCTCAGCTCCCCTCCCCTGCAGCCTGAATGGTCTCCCCCACCTTGCTTCCTCCTCCAGGATGGGCACTGCCCATTGTGATATCACCTGGGTTAGCCTCATCCCCAGGGGAACATGATGAGGTCTGGCTTCCTCTCTCCTCCTGGCTCTTTCCTGCCATAGACCCTCAAGAGTCCAGTTTCCAAGTTCAGAGAATTCCTGGAGACTTTCCAGGCTGGGCTTCTCACTGTCTTGGGAGAGGAACAAAAATTCTGAGGCATTTAACCCCCCTGGAGTCACACAGCAGCTCAGTGGCCCCTCCAGGAACCCACAAGGGGAGTGAAAGTGCTGTGCGCATTCACGTCAGCTCTCTGTGCTTCCCGGTCACCTGCCCCTGCCCTCACCCCAGGGAGGAAGCTGAGGCTGGCTTCTTTGCTGCTTTTAATATCATTATTTGTGTTACACCGATACACAACCAAGGATGATGGTCAATACTGCGATGGAAATGTTAAAAAAAATATTATACACGGCTCATGTCTTCCACCTTCCTGTAAATAAATTAGTGAGCTCGGAGAAACCTGGCTGGGCACAGCCACGGCTGGGGGCTAGAGGGTGTTAAGGCAGAATCTACAAGGGGACGGGGAGGGGGCGAGACAAGGCCTGGCTCTTCCCCTTCAATCTCCTAGGGTGCACAGGAGGGAACCACGTGCTCCGAGGCAGAGGCTGCTGGCTGCCAGCTTCCTCTCCCTGCCACATGTGTGCGCCTTAGGTGCAGCCCTTGCCTGCCAGGGAACCAGTGTGTCCTGTGGGAAGGGAGCTTCTCGCTGCTTCCTCAGGGCCCCAGAGAGTTACCAGTGGGCCAGGGTCACACAGTCAGTCAACAGCAAAGGCAGAAGTCTAAAACAGAGGAGGTGCCCATGTTGTAGAAAGGGAACCAGGGAACCCCGGGTGTAATGGGGGTAGTGGGAGGCCTGGCTCTGGGCCAGGTGATAGTGGCGATGCGATGCTGACCAAGGTGGAGAGGGCTCAGGTGGGGGGCACTTCGGGCTTGCTTGTGGGCCCTGAAGCTGTCTTTACTGCCCTGGCCTCCCTTGGCACTCTTTCACCATCTAACTGGAGTCCTTGCATTAGAAGAGACAAAGGTGGGTTGGAAGTGTGAGGAATAGAGTCGTACCCCAATACTCTGGAGTTGGCAGCTCCTGGTTGGGGAGCAGGTAATGGTGCTGCCCCTCTGCCCCCTCTCCCTACCCGGTTCCAGCTCCTATCTCCCAGGACTAGTGTCCAGAGAGTGGCACGTGGTGGTGTCTGTGGCAGAGGGAACACCGGCGTGTGCTGGCAACCAGCGTGGGGGCCCAGGGAGGCAGGCTCTGCGGAGGCAGCTTGTGGGCATGGCACATGCAGCCCGAGGCTACACGTGCTTTCTCTCTTCTTCACATGAAGGTGAGTTCTAGATGGCCCAGCCTGGGGGGGCCCCATTCACCGCTTCCCTCTTGATCTTATCCTCAGCTGTTTTGGCCTCTGGCCCTAGACCAGCAATAGTGGCAGAAGCAGCAGAACAAATCTCCTGACCCACAGATATTTCACACAGCTGCATACACAAGTCAGATACCTCTGCACATACTTACATTCCCAGACACACACAGCTCTTCCACACAGATCGCACGTACTTCCCTTTCCACACTAACACACGCCCAGGAGTGAGACCATGCCCTCTGTCGAAATTCCTGTGAAGAAACTCCTCTGGGTATGAAAGGACCTTAACAAGAATTTCAGCTGCTATTTATTTTCAGCTGAGGAAACTGAAGCCTGGAGATAGCACAGAGCTTGCTGCAGATCACTTGGAGCATCAGAGCTGGGAGCAGAACACAGCCTTTGGGCTCCCTGGCTGGCTCTGAGCAGTCTCTCCCAACTGCAAACAGGTCACACTGTCATATCTGACAAAGCTATGACAGGAAGAGAAGACCGGAGAGACAGGTCCAGCAAAGAGACACAGACATAGACACACAGACATACACAGGGACACACACACACACACACACACACACACACACACACACACACTGCTGTGCATGCACAGCCATTCAGCCCACGGTATTTTCCTAAGCTTACTCTTTGAAGAGATTTAATGGGAAGCGGCCTCCCAGCATTTGGGCTGGGAAAGAGAGCAACGGGGTGTGAGAGGCGGCTTATGTTCTGCTTCCAGCCTGGGCAATGGGCAGAAGTTGCAGGGGCTGGGGGACAGGGGAGGCGGAGAGACAGATGCATTGTGGAGGAACCCGGGAGCACAGGTCTTACCACCCCCTGGCGGGCCTTTCTTTTCCTTCTGCCACAGCAGAGAGCAAGAGGCAGGCAGTGATCTGATGGGTGGGAGATGATACCCCATGGGGCCTCCTTGACAGGCTTCCCATCTGGAGGTGGGAGAAAAACACACAGAGGTGCATGGGCTACCGGGGGCACACGGTTGCTAGGCTCTGCTCCCACTGCCCTGGGCCTTTCTCCCCCCAAATCTCTTTCCCTGCCAGGCTGGGCTGGGGCATTCATGGCTTTGCTGGGGTGGGGCCAAGCCCCTGCCTGGGTAGATTCCCTCCTCCCTGCGTGTTAGTGTTGACCTCCCTGCCATCCAGTCCTGCAGCCCCAAGATTGCAGCCTTGGGAAAGAGGAGTTTGCTGAGTGAGGTTCCCCAAGTAACTGAACAAAGAGCCCCATCCCTCAGCCCCCCGGGTGGAGAGAGACCCAGTTTTGGTTTCTCCGGCTCCAGGAACACACAGAGGTACACGTCCTACCATAGGAGGAAGCAATGACTGTTACGAGGTTGGCGGCTGTAGGGGGCACGGCCGGGGGACAGGCGGAGAGCAGGACTGGTCAGCCCTGCCCTGTCCGACCTGGCCCAGTGGAGTGGCGCCTCCCCTGTGAACCGCAGTGGCCCTGCCTGCTACTGAATGTGGCAGGCAGTGGAGGACGTTGCCTGGCAGCACATGCAGGTGGGGTTCACAGACTTGGGAGGGATGAGGTCCAGGTCCTCGTCGTCGGGAATCTCGTCTAACCGGTAGCCATCCTTCAGCAGCTGGATGTTCAAATCCTGGTTGATCTGCTGTAGACAAAGGGAAGGGAGGTCAGGCTGGGGCTTCCTCCCTCCACAAGGCTCCCGCCACTTCCTGGAGCCACCAGGACCGAGGCCATCTCCCCTGCCATAGGTCATCCTGTGCCTGTCTCCCTGGGCCACCTCAGGTCTCTCTGCACCCCCAGGCCTTGCCTTGCTCTCCTCTTCCTCCTCCTCCTTGTCCTCCTCCTCCTTGCACTCTGCCTGTGCTCTAGTCTCTTCCTTTATTATAGCCCATCTTGAGGCCTGAACAGATACAGACCCTTCCTTTTCCAAGATCAACTTTTTACCCCTAGTCCTGCTTCTATTTGGGTCCATTCCTATAATTTCCACCTCAACTTCATAAGCCGTTCCATTTAAGAACCCTGTTCCAATAATCTGGGCCCTAACCCTTGGGTCTCCGAAATTGAGCTCAGTGATTATTTCCTGGTTGCCCTAGGCCTGGTCCAATACAGAGCTCCACAAGTTATGCCATTCCTTGCTCTCTGGGGGAGTGGCTTGGCAACAGCCCTACTCCTGCTCCTTGGTAGAGGTGGTCCTTGCTCAGGCAGGCTTAGAGTGACGAGGAGTGAGGCCTCACCTCAGCAGAGGAGTAGCCAGAAGAGGAGTATCTGGACATGTCGAAGTCATCATCGCTGGCCGTGAGAAAAGGGGACAGAGAGGACACGATTCAGGAAAATTAAACAGAAAACTGCTGGCACACTCCTGGCTTCCCCCATCAGTCAGTCCATGCTCTGCCTCCTAAATCAAGTCTGTGTCTGCTGTGCAGATGCAGATTCCCTAGTTCCTTCCAAATGAACTGCCAGCTTTGATTCTTTTCTAAAGAGAGCTGTGCTCGCTTCACGCCTTCTCTCCTCACTGGTTAGGCTGCATCACACTGACTCGTTGGGTTCTCATAGTCTAGGGCTGACGGGTAACTTCCCCGGGACCCTGGGGCAGGACGGGGAGGCATCAAGCACATCCTGCTGTTTAGAGACATCAGCCACTACGGGCAGTCCCTGCACCAGTTGTTCCGCACAGTCCCTGTCTCCCACTGCCCACTTGCCTCCTTCCTGTAAAAATCCCATTCCCTTGGGAGGCCACGCTGGAGCATCCCTGGCTAAGGAAGACCCCAATCTTGGCACTGTAACAGGCATGGCCTGTATAGCCCCATTGCCCCCACGCCCATACATACCTGTCTGTGTCAAGGGCTACCAGTGGCTTCTCATCTGGGCTCTGATCAAGCGAGGAATAGCCTTTATTGGGGACAACCAGCCTAGGTGAAGAATTTTTGGAGCTGAGATGGGAACTGGAGCACACAAACCCGGGAAGGGACTGGGATGGACTCCAACCCACCACCCCTTCCTCCCTCCCTCCCCATTTTAGGTCCCAGCATGGAGAGAGGGAAGAGGGGAGGCTCAGGACCAGCAGAGACAGGAGCCGCCTGGTAGGGTGCAGGTGGCTGGAAGAGGGCCTTTACCTTGTCCTCGCCATGACATTGTTCTTCTTGGGTTGCTGGTTGACAGGGCTGCCCATGCTGCCATTCTTCAGGGAGCCCTTCCGCGCCAGCTCCCGCTGCTTCTCTGCGGGGAACAGGGGAGGGAGCTGTGGCCTGCTCCCAGGTCACACTGCTTTACTGCTGGGGCAGTGGGGCCCGCCTCCACTGGGAAAGCCCCTGCTCCTCCACAGACTGCTCAGCCTACACAGTGTGTGTGTGTGTGTGTGGGGGGGGGGGTGCGACCCGTGCCTTGGAGAGGCCACAGCTCCCCCATGTGGCTTGACTCCAAGGAAAGGGTGCAGAAGAGCTGATCCCGGAAGGACGGGGCAGGCTTCCTGTGGGCGAGCTGGAAAGAGGAGTGCACTCTAGGAAGGAGACACAGTGTGTTCTGGAACACATGCAGGCCTGGAGATATGGCTCGGTGGCTTGCCTGGCACTCACAAAGCCCTACATTTACTACAAAACCCGAATAACCAAAACAAAATAAAAAAAGACCAAAGTATTCAGAAATGAGCATAAATGTGGATCTAGCTGGGATGGAAGGGTGAAGGGAACAGAAGCCGTTTAGTTCTTATTCACTCAGCAAACACTGGAGTCACAAGCGATGTGTCAAGTCCTGTGCAAAGGGGTCAGAGACTCCCTCTGATTATAACCTCCGAGGAGGGAGACTATGAGTGTCCCGCTGAAGGGTCAGGGCTTCATGCAGAAAGTAGAGGGGGCCATTAAAGGCTGCGGAGGAGGGGCAGAAAGGGGCTGGAAGAGCAAATGGAAGAGACTGGGAGTCACGTGGCTGTGCTGCCTGAGGGGTGTGCTTGGCTCCTCCAAGCCTCTGAGGGTCCGAGGCCAGCAGGCTCTGGGGCAGCCATCAGATGACCCACTGCTTGGCATATGATACCTATTGCCTACTGTAAGCTCCTGCGTCCTGGCAGAGGCCCATCTGTTTTTTCCTGCTCATATCAAGTAAAGCTCAGATCTAGAAAAGGATCTTTTGTGTGAAAGGGTTACTAGAAGCTGTCTTAAAGAAGTAACAATATACTCCAGAGCACAAAGATGAGAGTGATTCATTTTAAAATGTTCCCCGACCTTCAAGGCTCTGAAGCTTTCATCTCTGGCTCTTTGTTTTTTGGTTTTTAATTTTTATCTTTGATACTGGGGTTGAACCCAGGGCCTTTGCATATCCCCAACCCTTTTCTTATTTGTTTGTTTTTGCTTTAAGATAGGGTTTCGCTAAGTTGTTAAGTTTCCCAGGCTGGACTTGGAGCTGGGTCAGCCTCTCAGAGTGCACCTGTCCCACTGCCAGCAAAGCTCCCCTTTTCTCTGTAAACACAGAGCTCCCTCCAGCTTTGCAGTCTCTTTCCAGCAGGCAGCAGCTGCCATTACCACCATAGACCTCTAGGGGGTGCAATTTGCTTTGAAGTTCCTTAGGGTGATTTTCCTTAGTTCAACTATGAATTTGGGTGTGCTTTGGTGGTAATGTAATAGGAAGGGGGGAAAGGTTGTTTTAAAAGCATGATAACATTGTTTAAAACAGTAAGAAAAAATTGCAAACAATAAATTGGCAAAACCCAAACTATGGACTACTATATAACCATTTAAAAGAATGAGGTCAGGAGAAACAAGAAGCCAGCCCCTTCCTGTGATTTAGCTGATGCGTGAACTAGGAGACAAGAAGAGCCAAGCTCCCCCATCCCTTCTCATAAGCAGCTGGGTGACCTGGAGAAACTGAGATACTGAGACAGAAAAAACAGCTTAATGATTGTAATGTGCAGTATTTGATTGACTTTGCGGGCCTAAGGCCAGGGGTCTGAGCATCTATTTGAAGGATAAGAATATGGGGGGCTGGAGATTTAGCTCAGCGGCATAAGTGCCTGCCTTGCAAGCAGGCAGTTGTGAGTTCGATCCCAGGTACTGATAAAAACGAAAAAAGACCAAAAAAAAAAAAAAAAAAAGTATATGCAGGATAACAACTATGGGGGATCTCCTTCTGAAAGTGTAGCCATTGTTAATCCCCTATTATTTTGTTTTAAAGTCTTATATCATTTTCATTGTTTGGTTTGGTTTGGTTTTATTCCATTTTGTTTTGTTTGACTTTACTATGTCTGATGGCATGGGCAGCTGTTTTGAAAGATAATAAGATACATTATGACATCCATTGCTGATTTCCTGTTATCTTGTTTTCAAGTCCTGTATCTCTTTCATTGTTTTGTTTTGATTGGTTTTATTCTGTTCTTTTTTTTGTCTGATTTTATTGTGTCTGATGGTGTAGGCAGGCATTTTGAATATAACAAGAGGAATTGTGACAGCCATTATTGATTTCCTATTATCTTGTTTTGAAGTCCTATATCACTTTCACTGTTTTGTTTGATTAGCTTTATTCTCTTTATTTTGTTTGGTTTTGTTCTTTTTAAAATAAAAGAAAATAAATTTCAAGTTCTTTATGAGACCAGAAAAAAAAAAAAAAAGAATGAAATCAGTCTCTCAGTCTCTATACACTGAGATTGGAAAGGGCAAAATGGAAAGGGAAGGGAACAAGTTTCAGAAAGTGTATACAAAATGATACCACTTATGATAAAATATAAAATAAAGCTTCATAAAGTGCAAATGTTTGGAATGATACCTCTGGGGGAGAGAATGTGATAGGGGAGAGCAGAGGAGAATTTTATTCATTAAAACACTTGCACTGCTACACAATAATTAACAAACAAAGGCAGCTGTAGTTTGAACTTGATGTCCTAGGAAGACAGACAGTTCCACTACAAAAATATCTCTCCTGTTTAGAAAATCAGGCAAGCCCCCCCCCCCCCCCATGGTCTCAAAGGAGAGAGACAAGGGTGGGAGCTGACCAGAACAGGTCTCGGGGTGGGTGGGGGGCGGTGACGGGGATCTGCGGCACAGTTCAGTGCTTGTCTAGGGCACATGAAACCCTGAATTTGGTTTTCAGTAACACAAAAGTAAAAATAAACAAAATTTTAAAACAAAATAAAAGAAAGTTGAGAACTCTGTGGGAAGGAGTCCTGGCAGCTGTGAGGGAGAGGGTTTTTGAAGTGGTGGGGAGGGGCTCTTAGGCTGAGGGAGGCCTAAGTTTTTGCTGAGCAGCTGAACCCTGAGGAGAAGGGGCTGGAATGGAGAAGGAGGTGTAAAGGGCAGTGTCGGGCCTGCCTTGAGCGTAAACTCTTTCTCTGTGGGCTTTGTGTTGTAATTTCTCCTCATGAAACCACATGTTTGGTAAGAGTCTGGATGCACAACAGCCTCAGGCCGTGAAACTTTGCCCCTACAGGAACAGGGGCGGTGTCCAGATGCAGAAGTTGCTGGCAATGGTTCGGAGCCAAGATAGCTGCAGAGGAGCCAGCTGCAGTCAGGTGACACTGAAATAACCTCCAAGGGAAAGTTGCTGTTGAGATTAATGAGGAAGTAAGGGCCAGCCTCCCATAGCAGCCGCCTGGGCCTGGGACTCTCAGGTGGCAGGGGACTGGACTGGAGAGAGGGGGGCTCAGCCTCAGGCTTTGGAATCCTCATTTCTTTCTAGGCCTCCGATGCAGCAGCTGACACTCCACTTATAAAGTGACTTAACGTTCAACCTGATTCTTTCTTTCCTTTTTGTTTTTTGTTTTTTTTTTTTTTTGACACAGGGTCTTGCTGTGTAGTTCAGGCTGGGCTTGAGTTCACTATGTAGCCCAGGCTGGCCTCGAACTCACAGTGATCATCCTGTCTCTGCCTCCCAAGTAGTAGGATTACAGTGTGTGCCACCATGCCAAGGTCTGACTGAGTGTTTGATGGGGCTTCCAAGTCCTCTGCCTGGGGTTCCATGCTTATACCCCTGCAACTCCCTTGGCATACCTGTGGCCTTTGCCTCAGAGATGCCTCCTGGAATTTCAGGATTTGTAGAAAAGTATAACTATGTTTTTGCTTTCTAGAAAATACGGTGTCTAGGGGCTGGGGATTTAGCTCAGCGGAATAAGCGCCTGCCTTGCAAGCAAGCAGTCCTGAGTTCGATCCCCAGTACTGATAAAAAGGAAAAAAGACAAAAAAAAAAAAAAAAAAAAAAGAAAAGAAAATAAAATACGGTGTCTGGCTTGAGTCTTGGAATCATCCATCCCGAGTTGCTTTATTTGGGGTGGCTCACCTCAAATCAGCCCAGTGCACTCCCCACATCTCCCTCACCCCCCGGACACACTCACCCAGCTTCACCTGGAGCGGGGATGGTTTGTAATTCATGGCTACTGACTCACCCTCCCGGGCGTCACAGTCTCCGTCTGAGATGGAGGTGGCGGCTGGGTCCTGAGGGAGAAAGCAGAGACAGAGTCATTAGCAAGAGAGCAGGGGGCTGCACTCAGCCCTGGAGCAAACCTGCCCACCTGCCCTCTGGGACTGTGGGAGCATTTGCTCCTGGCAGCAGGCTGGACATTCAGGGAGGGCGGAGGGCAGAGCCATTTATCAAGGGACAAAGATGCTGAGCTGGGCAGCAGAGTCAAGGCTCTTGGCCCCACTTACACCCAAGTGGATGTCTGTCCTCAAAGTCCCCTGTGATCCAGGGTCTTTCAGAAATGCGATCACAACTTTCCTAAACACCTAGAACCTCTCTAGTCGCTCATTCTAGTTGCCCTAATCTTTAGGTCCCTCATGTTAGGAAAAAGAGCAGGTACTCCTTGAAATGGACCTTCGCTCTCCTTTCCCCTAGTGCCAGACAGGTCCCATCAACATAAGATCCAGAGGACCAACTGGCCAAAGCAAGGGAGACTCTACAGCTTCAGCCTTTGGACAAAAACGCGTTTTAACAAGGGGTTTTTCAGCCCCACATGAACCCTAAAGAAGGTTTAGGAGAACCTGAAAGGTTGGCTAGGCATGATGGAAGACAAGTAATGACAGGCTAGCAGGTGGCCAGTTAGTTCTGAGCTGCCCAGTGCGCTAAACTTTGGTTGCTGCAGATGAGGAAGGCGAGAGGATCCACGTCCCGGCTGTGGTCTGGAATATGCAGCCTGTTCATCCTCCCTTAACGCCCTCCTCACTGCTTTCAGCCCTGGGCTGGGTCCTGGCCATCCAGGGTCCTTTTGTAGCCTTGTCACCCTCTAAAGTACTCTCCTGTCCACAAAGCCTAGGGTGCTGGTCTGCCCTGCCTTGGTCAGGTAGAAGGGCCTGCAGCCGTCAACACTCTCCACGAGACGTGGACGGTCCATGATATGGATACTGTATGCCAGGCATCATTGAACTGTAACCAGCAGCTACCGACAGCAAGGCTAAGGTATGAGCGCTGCAGACAGGATAAGGTTTGTTCCTGTTCTGCTTCTGGGGATCAGAGAGTAGACAGGCAGGAGGGCGCTCCATAGGTGCTTCCTTATCTTTCGTGTGGTGACTTCTAAATCTGTCGCCTTCCAGTCTTGCATTTCCTCTTTAGCCCTATGAGTCATATGAGAGTGTTAGAGCTCACTGCATTTTCCACAGAGCAGATATGTAGATGTACATATAGATTTATAAGCCCAGGGCCTTTGCACTGAGCTACAACCACAATCATTTAACATCTTTTTACTTTGAGACAGGGTCTCGCTAAGTCACCAAGTTGGCCAGGCTGTGCTCAAGCTCATGATTCTGATCCTGAAAGAAACTATCAGCTCTTTTGGGGCAGAAACAGCGCATGAGGCTATAGGCTGAGCCTACCTTTCAGCATCTCCTTCATCACTGTTCATTGCAGAAAGCCACCCAAATGGCAAGCACAAAGATCTTGGCACTGTGTCTACCAGTACAAGCTTTCCCTGTGGACTTCCTGTATGTCTTCCCCAAGAAATGCAGGCAATGCACCATCAGCCTCATGTGGAGAGATAATCAGGGAGATTAAATGTAAAATATTCATGAATAGAAGTATCAGAGAGGACTCCAGGCAGAAGGAAGTGTCTGGCTCCAAGAAATCAGGGAGAATTTAAAATGCCCCCTAAGGATATCCAAGAGGCATTAGCTAGATCCAGGAACTAGAGTGGGGATTAACAAGATTATTAATAAACACTCAGCAGAGACAGACATTGAAATGCATCTCAATCAGCAGTCCATGTTTCTGCAACCATTCTAACAAATTCTCAAAAGACTGCAGGGATCCTTAATAACCCAGGCTCACTATTTCTGGGATGGGATATCCTGGCTAATGGTCAATGCAAAGCCAATATAGCTAGAGAAAACAAAAGTACTGTACCAAAAAATCCTTAGATTAATCTAGTTCAGTGATTTTTGTTAAACTGTATTTATTAGCTGAACTTTGGGTAGGGCTGAATGTGAGGGGAGAGAAATAATGTTAGGGGTCTGGCTTCCCTTTAGCCAGAGGAGATCCACCTTTATTTCACTTATCTATTAGGCTTTTTGTAAGACTTTTGTTAGAGAAAAGGTTAAAATCCGTTAATTTGATCTAATTTGACCTTTAAATTGTTTTTATATGGGAATTACTATAAAAAGTATAGCGAGACCCTAGACATCTATCAATGCCTTTAGCAAACATCAACTTATCAACCCACTCTTTTTTTTTTTTTTTTTTGGTCTTTTTCCTTTTTTTTTATTGGTACCGGGGATCGAACTCACGACTGCCTGCTTGCAAGGCAGGCACTTATGCCACTGAGCTAAATCCCCAGCCCCTCAACCCACTCTTTTTGAAAAAAAGAAACCTAGGTCCACATGGGAAGTCTAGCTTGAGGTCACTGATGGAGTCAAGGACCTTTCAAAGCACAGGAGCAGGCCCATCGGGAACGGGCAAGGCTGGGACTCTGAACTAGAGACAAGTGTCTTGAGAGGCTGCCGTGCCCCTGCATGCTCACACATCAGTCTGCACGTCTGTCCTCACCTGCCTGCGCTAGGGCTGTACTAGCCCATGAGTGGTCTCCTGAGGACTGGCCTTGCTTGTCGCAGCTGGAGTAGTGCAGTAGATACAGCAGTAGGCTAGAATCTAAGAGATGGAATGATGGAGGATCACGGTGGAATTGAGTGTACAAATGATAAACAGAGGAAAAAATCAGAATAGGTCAGGGACCTTAAGAAGAATGGACCTGGAAAAATAACAGAAGAGAATGGTTTCTTGAATAACCAGTAAAGCCTAACAATCCTTTCTGGTAGGACTCTGTATGGCAAAAAAAAAAAAAAAAAAAAAAGAGAGAGACAGAAAGAGACTTGCAGGGTAGTTCCTAATGCGTGACTTCAGATCCATGAGTTTATCTGATTCTCACAAGGACAGGAGCCACTGTGATTCCTCTGCAACACTGAGATGCTGCTCCTGTCCACCTGGCCAAGCCATGTGGTGTGAGCAGGTTGACCTCATCTGAGCAGGGTGACTTGAGTAGGTGCTAAGGGGGTGTCTGACAAAATGAAGACAAACCGCACGATCCTGTCCTGCTTGCTACACACACTGAAAGGAAGATGGCAATGGTTAAAACACAGACTCCAGGGCCAAGTTCCTAGGTTTGTATCCCAGTCACCCCGTTACTGGTTGTGTTCTGGGCTTCAGTTTTCTCATTTATAAAGTGGACGTAACATTAATATCTATGTCAAAGTTTCTGTAAGGGCAAAATGAATTAATATATGTTAAGCATTTGGTGCTTAGTGTTACACATATTGAACACTACATCTACATTAGCTTTAACAGTGATAATAATATAGGTTCAGTGAGATAAAATATAAAAGGAAGCATAAAAACATTTCTGGTTTTCTGTCTGGGATAATTGGAAAAGGAATACTAATTACTAAGACAGAAAATGCAGAAAAAGAGAAGAGCAGATGAGTTCATTTTGAGGTATCTTCTGGACACCAGATGACATGACTAGTGAGGAGGTTTGGGAACTCAGGAAAGACGTGCAGGCTGGTCATGATGCAAGGCAACAAGGAGAACACGTTCTCCCAGAAACAATGAGCAGAGAGACACAGTGCCATTAACCCCCTCAATATATCCCTTTTGCTTGAAACCCACATCCCAGCATCTAGCCACTTTCTGAAGCAGTTCTGGAAGTCCTTTCATAAATGTCTTTAATTGTGCTGTCATGGCTGCCTTGATGTCCTGAAATGACTCAAAATGTTTACTTTCTGTGGTTAATTTGACTTTGGGGAAGACTCAGTAGTTGCCTGGTGCAAGTTCTGGTGAATAAGAGGACCGAGGATTTAGCTCAACGGCATAAGCACTTGGCTAGCAAGCACGAGGTTGTAAGTTCGATGCTCAAAGATCTGGCTAATAAGATAAATGAGGATATACCACAATATTTTTACAAGCTTTTCTTTCCAGTAGTAGCAACATACACATTTCTGAACATGCTTTGTAAAGCTACTCATGAAAGAGTGCTTCCAAAACTGCTTCAGAAAGTGACAAGAATAATGCCATAAATGTGTTATATTCAAAGCAAAGGGAAATTTTTTGAGAGGAGTTGATGGCCATGTGTCCTTGACTGTAATAAATTTTAAAAGTTTAACATTTATCATGTATTTTTGTTACACCTTATAGGTAGCCTCAGAGAACACAGCTTAGTTCAAGAGTAGAAATAGAACTCTGATTACAAGGGACTTTGGACAGAACAGGATATGAAGTAGAGGCAAGGAACACAGGCTGTTATTCCAAGGAAGAATACTGCTGTAAAAGGAATAGATGGTAACAGATGACAGCCAAAGCAAGTTTCAGAGTTGTACAATTTTTTTAGAATTAGGGAACACGTGACCACTGTCCACACTAAGGAAAAGGAAGCTGGGTATGGAAGAGGTTTGATGGGGTATAACTTTTTCAGTGCTAGGGGGTGAACCCAGGGCCACATGCATGCTAGGCAAGTTATGTCCCCAGTTTGCTTTATTTTATTTTGAGATAGAGTCTTGCTAAATCACCCAGGCTGGACTCAACTTGCAATCCTTCTGCCTCAGCCTCCTTGAGATTACAGGCATGCACCACTGAGTTATGGTCTTTGAGGAGTCAAAAGCACATAGAACCACCTTGGACCAGAAGAGGGAAACTCCTTACTGAAACGGAAGTGAGGATGTGTGGGATAGAAATCATGTGGAGGCAAAAAGTGGGTAGAAAGTAGAAAAGTAAGAGGGTTCGTTTGTGTCTTTTTAAATAAGGAAGGAGGTGAACACTACGGTGTTGAGGAGGATAAGAGGCGCAATTGGGAGGTTGGCCAGGGCAGTAGGAGAGCACGCTGGCCAGCTTCCAGCTGCCACCCTTAACTTTCACCGGCCCGCTAGGCCCCTCCCCATGAAAGCTGCTCTCCATGGTGCTGGACAACCCTGCTGGAGTTTTGTGGGCTGAATGTGGATGATAGAGACATGGTTCAATT